ACCTCCAGATCAGGAAACATCTCGTCGGCCTCACCCTTGAAGTCGGGCTTCACCACCAGGACACCATTGGTTGGTTCGGCGAAGTACCCCGGCGAAGGCCGGGCCTGCCGCCAGCAGAACATCGAACCACTCCCTGACACCCTGCAATTTCCCTCCAAATGAGGAATCATCGGCATAAGAGTTGTATACTGTTCAGACTAGCTACTCACCGTTAGGCCCCGGCGGATAATGCTAGCATTATATCTAGCATATTTAGCACTTTCTGGAAACTAGCATTGCACTAGCATAATCAGTAGGTTTTGCAGAAAACTAGCATATTCTTGCGAAAACTAGCATATTGTTGCAAAACATGGGATTTTCAACTGTGTTCGCATCCGAAAGCACTGGTTCACTTCAAATCTTCAATGTCTAGCTCTCTACTACTAGTACTACTTGAACTTGTAGTAGATCTATGACTCTGGCTGGGAGTCTGGGCACAAGCGTTGGGAAAAAAACTTGTGATGGTGTAGATCTACATGAGAAGGCGGTGAAAATGGGAGCGTTTTGTTTCCACAAACGTTTGCCGCTTATTATTTGTTAGCTGATGAAGAACACGCGCCATGGCTATGTCCCAGCAAGCAGCCAGAGACATTGTTGATCTAGTAAGCAGTAGCGATGATCACTTTGATTCCGAGTTTGACGATGAAGACGCCTCAGAATCAGAGGACGAGGTCAGGACAGCGTGTGAACGTCTTCCCGAACCAGCCAGAGTAGCGATTTCCCGAAAACGATCTTTCCAGAGAAGTGGGAAAGAGTCCGTCGCTAAGCGTGGGCGATTTGCCGGTGGAAGTTCCACATTGACACCTCGTGGCAGCGTCCACCATCGCGTGCAGCAATTTCCAGGGGAATATTTGACCGTGTCCAGTGGGAAGATTTACTGCAGTGCTTGCAGCCAGACAGTTCAACCGAAGAACAGCATTGTGAAATCACACATTTCGAGCCAAATCGCAAGACGGCCAAAGAGCGAAAGTCACGAGCCCAGCTACACCAGCAAGCGCTAACAGCTTCGTGGGAGAAGTACACTACAGACCATAAGGAGCTGGCAGGAACAGGGCTATCTGGTGATGTAGCCATTGATGTCCTCATTCGAAGAGCCAACGTTGTAGAGTCTTTCCTCAAAGCAGGTGTGCCTCTGAGTAAGATAGACCACCTTTGTCCGTTGCTTGAAAGCAACTACTGTCGCATGACGTACAGCACTCACATGGCACATTTGGTGCCATTCCTGTTGCAGAATGAGCAGTCTACCATCACGAAGGAGATTGCATCTGCAGTTCATCTCACCGTTATTTTCGATGGTACTTCACGCCTTGGTGAGGCACTTGCTGTTGTCCTCCGCTACGTCGATGGTGATTTCAACACACACCAACGCCTTGTACGTTTCTCTGTACTGTCCAAAAGCCTAGCTGGTACCGAGCTAGCTCGAGAGCTCATCACAGTTTTGTCAACACAGCTGCAAGTTCCAAGCCACACGGTTCTTCTTGCTTTGGTCCCAGACTGTGCAGCTGTTAAAGGGGAAGTATACCCTAAAATCAAATTTTCACCAGTTGTAGTCTTCGGGGTGCTGAGTCCAATGGTCTTGGTCCGAGGAAGCTGAGACGCTCCCTTCCAACTTGAATCCCAATCGAACTCGCGCACTTCCACCGAAACTGGGTGACTGCGCCCTACTAGATGGGGATTTGTATGCAAAATGTCACTAAAAGCGCCATTTCGTTCTTATAAAAGCACGAATGACCGCGATTGGCCCATATGTTGTAGTCTTTTGGACGCTGAGTCGACTGGTTTTGGTCCGAAAAGGCTGCGATGCAGCGTTCCTCCTTTATTCCCAATCGAACATGGTTGAACAAGCGGTCACGTGCTCGTGCGTACACCAGTCACCTGGTCACCGTGCCTGCAGGGTACAACTTACTAGCCTGTTTGACCTTTTTTGGGTGCAGTCCTGTCACTCGAGTTGAACTCGAGTTGAACCTTGGTGTGAAAGTTGTCGCCTGCTGGCGCGGTGACCAGGTGATTTGGGCACCCAGGAGCACGTGACCGCTTCTTCAGCCATGTTCGATTGGGAATAAAGGAGGAACGCTGCATCGCAGCCTTTTTGGACCAAAACCAGTCGACTCAGCGTCCAAAAGACTACAACATATGGGCCAATCGCGGTCATCCGTGCTTTTATAAGAACGAAATGGCGCTTTTAGTGACATTTTGCATACAAATCCCCATCTAGTAGGGCGCAGTCACCCAGTTTCGGTGGAAGTGCGCGAGTTCGATTGGGATTCAAGTAGGAAGGGAGCGTCGCAGCTTCCTCGGACCAAGACCATTCGACTCAGCACCCCGAAGACTACAACTGGTGAAAATTTGATTTTAGGGTATACTTCCCCTTTAAAGGGGAAGTTAAGGCAAAAATTAAAATTTCACCAGTTGTAGTCTTCGGGGTGCTGAGTCGAATGGTCTTGGTCCGAGGAAGCTGAGACGCTCCCTTCCTACTTGAATCCCAATCGAACTCGCGCACTTCCACCGAAACTGGGTGACTGCGCCCTACGAGATGGGGATTTGTATGCAAAATGTCACTAAAAGCGCCATTTCGTTCTTATAAAAGCACGGATGACCGCGATTGGCCCATATGTTGTAGTCTTTGGGACGCTGAGTCGACTGGTTTTGGTCCGAAAAGGCTGCGATGCGGCGTTCCTCCTTTATTCCCAATCGAACATGGTTGAAGAAGCGGTCACGTGCTCCTGCGTACACCAGTCACCTGGTCACCGTGCCTGCAGGGTACAACTTACTAGCCTGTTTGACCTTTTTTGGGTGCAGTCCTGTCACTCGAGTTGAACCCGAGTTGAACCTTGGTGTGAAAGTTGTCACCTGCTGGCGTGGTGACCAGGTGATTTGGGCACCCAGGACCACGTGACCGCCTCTTCAACCATGTTCGATTGGGAATAAAGGAGGAACGCTGCATCGCAGCCTTTTCGGACCAAAACCAGCCGACTCAGCGTCCCAAAGACTACAACATATGGGCCAATCGCGGTTATCCGTGCTTTTATAAGAACGAAATGGCGCTTTTAGTGACATTTTGCATACAAATCCCCATCTCGTAGGGCGCAGTCACCCAGTTTCGGTGGAAGTGCGCGAGTTCGATTGGGATTCAAGTAGGAAGGGAGCGTCTCAGCTTCCTCGGACCAAGACCATTCGACTCAGCACCCCGAAGACTACAACTGGTGAAATTTTAATTTTTGCCTTAACTTCCCCTTTAATGGTGTTGCTGTTAGGGTGGTAACAGCTCTTTTTGACCCCATATAAGGTGGCATTAAATTGAGCATAACGAGCATAACGAGCATTAAAACTAGCATAATGTGCCACTTTTACTAGCAGTGCTAGTAGCATAATTGCCGAAAATAACTAGCATTATCCGCCGGGGCCTACTCACCGTACGACTCCCTGGTCCACACAAACAACAACGACCGGGTCGACCGTGATGTGCAAAGACCACGGCTCACTTTCCCCCCGAATCCTGGGTCGGAATGCGCATCGTGTCGGTCGGTCGGTGTGTGTGTGTGTGTGTGTGTGTGTGTGTGCGGATTGCAATCGGTCATTCTCGCGCCCTGGAGATCGTGCTCGCCGCAAATGTGTGGTTGAGCGGGCCAAGACGATTGCTGAGCAGCGAGGGGCTTGCCACTGTGGAGATTGTGGGCGTTGGTTTCGAAGCGAGGGTGGTCTAGCTGTTCACCGCTGTTCCGCTCCTCAGCCTCATGCAGCCTCCCGAGCCCCATTAAGTCTATGTACAGGATGCCTGCCGTGCTGTGTGTACCCGCTACTGTCCGACTGCGGAAGGCTGCGGTCTTGACCGGTGCTCGAGGACTGGCCCTCGCCCGACTGCGCAGCAGCATACCGTATTTCCGCAAATAGTAGGCCGGTCTACTATTTTCTTCAAACTCGTCCTAACCCGGCCTTATAATTGAGGACGGTCTCACGGTCTTTTATTCTTTCAACCCAGTTTGACCCCGGTCTTATATTTTTCGCCACACAGTTTTACCCTCGTTCTTCCATTTTCTTCTACACAGTTTGAGCACAGTCTTCTATTTTTTCCCACAGTTTGAGCACGGTCTTCTATGCGCAGCATGCGCAGTCGTAAGACTCATTTAGTAGGCCCGGTCTTCTAATCGGAGACGGTCTTGTATTTTTTCAATCGCCCCCTGCCCCGGCCTTGTATTCGAGGAAGGTGTTGTATACGAGGACGGTCTTTTATTTGCGGAAATACGGTAATTCGTTCAGTCATATATTATGCGTGTGTTCTCGCCGGTTCCGTTTGCTCCACCATCTCCGGCGTCATCAGGCTACGTGCTCCATCTTCCTCTCTGATGCCCCTCCGGGGCCCACGTGACCCCTGTGCCAGTGGCTCTACAGGACAGGACAGGTGTGTGTGTGTGTGTGTGTGTGTGTGTGTGGTGTGGTCTCGTGTCGTGTCCCTAGATGCTATCTGGTGGCTACATTGTTAGCTGTTAGTGACCAGGTGACTTCCTAAAAGAACTACAACACACCACAGAACACGTCAGAGCATCGTGCTGCAGCCAGTGGCTGGCAACACCAAACATCACACGTGCGCGCGCGCGACCGCGGCTACAGACCGCACAGACTATACGCCCAGGCAGCTCAGCCCAATCTATAGTATACGCCCAGGCAGCTCAGCCCAATCTATAGCATACGCCCAGGCAGTTAAGCCCAATCTATAGTATATGCCCAGGCAGCTAAGCCCAATCTATAGTATATGGCCAGGCAGCTAAGCCCAATCTATAGTATACGCCCAGGCAGCTAAGCCTGCTGACAAGAGAATATGCTTAGAATGCCAAGACTCTAGACAATACTAAAAGCTAAGAGTCAAACTGGGCGTGCCAGGCACAAGTGCGCCTAACGGAAACCAGAGCCAGAGTAGACTCACTGGGCAGAAAAATCAGTACCAACAAGCACAGTCAACCAACTCGAAAACATTATTAATTTTATAGTGGTACATGGTCAGATCTGCCAGCGACAGAACACTCCGGGCACTGAAAATACTCAGTCAGAGCTGCACAAACAACACGGGGAAGGAGCATAACGCACGGCAGGGGCCATGCTATACAGCACACAGCATTTCAGGTGCGTAAATACGTTCACAGCAAATCTCTGGTAAAAAATAACCTAAAGGAACAAAAAATAACAACGAACACCGAGGAAACGTTTTGCACCAGGTCACATCAAATATTTATTAAAAAAACAACAACATAAACTCTAGGAGATATGAAAGACTGATGAGTGTGAGCGTGTGTGTGTGTTTGGCGGCTCTATATGAAACAGCAATAATTCTATGAAAGATAAGTCTGAGCTGACCAGCAGCAACAGCAGAAAGAAAAAAAAACAGAAAATCAATGTAAAAGCGAATAGCACGGGGACGGACTGCAAGGAAATGACAAAGTCGGCAAAGCCATCAACACTCTTGTGTATACACATGTACATGTAGTTGAAGTACATGTAACGAGTACACGTACCGACATGTACACAGTGGATGACAACGAGCAAAGGACAAGATAGAACGTAAGCGGAAGAGAAAACACAAAAAGGCACACAGGTGCGCGTACACGCACCCAAACACACACATCAAGCAAAGATGTCATCATTCGCAGCTCCAGCTAACGGATCGTCAAAAATACTGGCACCGGTATCGAAGATGTCTGCAGCAGCAGCGGCCGCAGATTTCTTCTTCTTACCAGCCGTCTTCTTTTTGGTTTTCTTCTTTGTCGCTGCTGTCTCATCCCCAGCATCAGCAGCTGTAGCGGCAGCAGAAGCACTTGCTTCAGTCGCTGACGGCGCAGCAGTAGCGGATGGTGAACCAAACAGATCATCAACAGGAGCTGCAGTAGCGGCAGCAGCAGCAGATGCAGGTGGTGAGCCGAACAAATCGTCAACGGGAGCAACAGCGGCAGCAGCAGGTTCCGTTGCCGTGGCAGCAGGAGCAGCAGCAGTGTCAGCCTTTTTCTTCTTCGTAGCTCCCGTCTTCTTCTTTTTCTTCTTCGTAGCAGAGGTGGTGGCAGCCTCTTCCTTGGCAGGAAGGTCAGCAAATATGTCTCCACTGTCACCGAACAGCTCGGCATCCTTCGGACCTGAGCTTGTCGGCGTCTTGGATGGCTTGCTCTTTGTAGACGCGGCGAACAAGTCATCATCATTATCGGCAGCGGCGGGGGCAACGGGGCTTTCAGCAGCCTTCTTCTTAGACGACGCAGCTGGTTTCTTGGACGGCTTGCTGGTACTGGGCGCAGCAAACAGGTCGTCGTCATCAGCAACAGCGACAGCCGCAACAGGACTTTCAGCAGCCTTCTTCTTTGATACCACAGCCGTTTTCTTGGGTGCTTTGCTTTTGCTAGGTGCGGCAAACAGGTCGTCATCGTCACCATCATCAACGCCGGCAGCAGCAGCAGCAGCAGCAGCAGCAGCAGCAGCAGGCGCAGCAGCAGGACTAGCGGCAGACTTCTTTACCGATGCGTCAGCAGCTGGTGTCTTGGACGGCTTGCTCGTGCCGACTGCAGCAAACAAGTCGTCATCGTCATCAATGGCGGCGGCAGTGGCGGGAACGGCAGCAGAAGCGGCAGCTTTCTTCTTTGGTGCAGCGGCAGCCGGTGCTCTGGATGGGTTGCTTGTACTGGCTGCAGCAAACAAGTCCTCATCTTCATCAACACTGGCGGTGGGTTTGGCTATGGTTGAGATCGGAGAGCCGGTCACTATGCCGACACCCAGTGACTTCTCCAAATCGTCCTCTTCACCCGACGGAGATGGACGAGAAGCCTGGCGACGTGGTGGACGTCGACTTGGTCCACGGGCACGGCTCTTTGTTGCCGAAGATAGCGTCTTGACCAGGGCCGGTTCATCGAATGAAGCAGCGGTGGGCACTTCTTGCTTCCGCGGCAAAGGTTTGCCCGGTTCTTTGAATGTAATGGCGATGGCGTCCTTTTGCTTTTGACTCAGTCTCGATTTTGAAACTGGGGCCGAGAAAAGATCATCTTCAGGCGTAGCCGCTTTCGACTTTGCTTTCGGCGCAGCAAACATATCGTCGTTGTCGTCGTCGTCGTCGTCATCTCCACCAAACAACCCACCTCCACTGCCAGTTTTCTCGCTTGGCAGGCTGGGAGACGGCTTATCAAATGTGTCTTCTGACGACGCAGAGCTCTTGTTGGCACCGAAAGGATCGGCACCACCGAACATTGACACGGCACCAGGCGGTCTCTTCTTCCCAGAAGACAGCTCTGCAGCAACACCACCAAACATTGACACGCCACCAGCCGGTTTCTTCTTCGCTGGAGCTGGCTCGTCTGTGACAACGGGATCCGGATCTTCAGTCGACTTCGAGGCAGTGCTGGATGGAGAGGCTTGTGCTGTAGGCACAGGCTTCGACTTGGGCGGCGGAGCAGCGAAGAAATCGTCATCATCGTCGTCATCACCTCCTACATCGAACAGACCGCCAGCCTTTGTGGGTTTGCTGGCGGGTGCAGAATTGGAAACGGCAGCTGACACTGCTTTGCCCGGTGCGGCTGTGCTTTTCGCTTTCGGTGCAGCAAACATATCGTCGTCGTCATCGTCGTCGAACAATCCAGCAGGTTTCTTGCTGGATGTGTTAGTCGGAGGTGCATCTGCTGGCTCCCGAGCTGGAGCGCTCTTCTTGGCTGCAAACGGATCTGCGCCTCCGAACATGGACACTGCACCAGCAGGTTTCTTCTTGCCTGTCGCCGCTGCTGGTTCTGCTCGGCTGGCTTCAACTGCCGTGGGGGCAGCACCTGCGGAATCACCTGCTGCAGGAGCGGCGGCTGGAGTAGCGGCTGGTTTAGACTTTGGCGCAGGTGTTCCGAAGAAATCGTCGTCGTCCTCATCATCTCCACCGTCACTGAAAAGCCCAGCTTTCTTGGCGGGCTTGGCTGGTTCCGCTTTGCTGACCGGAGCAGCCTTCTTTGGCTTGGCCGCGGCAAACATATCATCATCGTCGTCATCACCGCCGTCGAGTGGTCCGGCAGATTGTTTGCTCAGTACGCCTCCAGCTGGCTTCTGCTTGCCTGTAACGGCTGTCGTTGCTGGATCTGCTGCTTTAGTAGCTGCCAACACCTTAGGTGCAGCGTCTGCAAAATCACTGGATGCAGGGGCAGCCGCTTTCGCTTTCGGCGCAGGAGTCGCAAAGAAGTCATCATCGTCGTCACCACCATCATCAAAGAGACCAGCTTTCTTGGCGGGCTTGGCTGCCGTCGGGGCAGAAGCAGCTGGCTTGTCGGTAACGGCAGGATCTTTCGGGGCAGGTGCTGCAAACATGTCGTCATCGTCGTCGTCGAAAAGGCCTCCGCCGCCTGCCTTCTTGCCACCTGTGCTGACTGGCGATGCTTCAGCTGCGCCTTCTGCTGATGATGTGCTCTTTTGAGTGCCAAACAAATCAGCACCGCCAAACATAGAGACGGCACCGGCTGGCTTTTTCTTCGCTGGTGCAGCTGTGGCTACGGGTGCTGGCGCAGCTGCTGGCTCACTGCCTCCCTTGCCCAGTTGGCTAGCGAGATCATCATTGCTGTCGTCGTCTTCGTCATCATTGTCATCGCCGAATAGACCTGCCTTCTTCGCTTTGGGAGCAGCGGCTTTCGTGGCAGCTTCAGCTGTGGGCTTGGCTGTCGGCGCTGAGAAGATGTCACCAGCATCTTCTTCGTTGTCGTCGTCATCGTCGAATAGTCCACCGCCCTGCTTCTTCTTTTTCTTCTTGGTCGCCGTATCCGCTGCCGCAGCTGGGATCAGTTCGTCCTTCTTTTTCTTATTTTTCTTCTTTTCAACAGGGGCAGAGTACAAGTCTCCTTCGTCGTCGTCATCATCATCATCGTCGAAAAGGCCACCACCAGACTTCCTTACGGAGGCTTTCCGCATCGGCTTAGCTTGGCTCACGTCGTCGTCATCATCCTCTTCATCGTCCTCTGACCCTTTGACGCCGCTGGCTTTCCGCGGTGCTGCTGCTGCGGCCAGGCCTAGCTTGCTTGCCAGCTCTGATTGGAAGTCACTCTTTGGCTGAGGAAGAGACACAAGACAAAAAAAGAGAGAACAGCGACAACAGCGGCGACAGCAACAACAACAGCAGCAGCAACAGCAGCAGCAGGAACAGCAACAACAGCAGCAGGAACAGCAGCAGCAGCAACAACAACCGCGGCAATGGCGGCAGCAACAGCAAAAAAACGACAGTCACACCTCTACATTCTGCTGGAATCCGTTAAAGCAGACTTCTGCTGGATTGGGGATGGTGTTGAATTAATGTATACTGACACATACCAGGGGAATATGTATAACAAATTGTGAAGGAGTAAATTTTTGGCACATTGCCGGCAAAGTCAGGGTTCGCAGCCAACCAAGCACACAAAATTCCAAACTTTTTCCAAACTTTTTCCAAACCAATTTCAAGAATTTCCAAACCCACTCGTGCAGGAAAAATAAATTATGAATCTCTTCTGCATGACTGTCTTCTCCACTACGAGTACAACCAGGGAGTAGTAAAATCCTCCCTGGTACCACTACCATCAACAAATTCACCAAGGTACATTGCAATGGCATCGCCTTCAGCAGCTAGAGCCCCCGAAAATAGCAGGGGGATTCATACGACGAGAGTTCCCCTCCGTAAGTTCAAATCCGCCTCCAGAAGGGGTTCCAATGAAACATTTACATAGCTGGTGTTCGTCTCAGCGCAAAAGACGGCTTCATCCTCGCCAGCAAACTCATCTGAGTGCGAAAGGACCTCGCCATCCTGCTGTCCCGACTTCAAAGAATCAAAGTCGAGCGCGAGCGCCAGAAACGAAAAACGGCCAAATAAAAGTCATCACCGGCCGCGCTTGAGCTGCACTGAAATGACTGTACGAGACTCGTACATCAGTGAACACCACACATGATGTCGGTGACATCGCCAGCTAGCGCGTCTTCTATCGCGGTAGTCAAAACGGCCACTTGCACTGCAAGAGTGCAGCACATCCACGGCCAAAAACTCGAAATTCCAAACTTTTTCCAAACTATTCCAAAAGGAGCGCCTTTTCAAAACTTTTTCCAGACCTGGAAAATTGAATTATAAAATCCAAACTTTTTCCAGACTTCCAAACTTCGCTGCGAACCCTGCAAAGTGCTCGATGCACAAAGTGCAGAGTGTTTCCAACAAGAAAGAGTAACACATTGTGTACACTTGGTGCCGATCTCTTGTCTGCCGCAGTTTAGTTTATCTATGGAGTTCGCAGTCGATAAGTTTGGGCCGTCGTATGAATCAAGAGTCCTTCATATGACTGCTTGGTATTCGCCAGTGTACTCATACTCGTACACATGTATTGCTCATCCCATGCATTGGTGCCGCATTCACCAGCTCAACGCAAACACACCTGTGTCTGTAATCACAAGTGAGACCAGTTTACTCAACTTCACCATAGGCCAATGAAACCCAAACACTATGGGTGGCACTTGGGATCAGGGTGAACCCTTGACATTGCGACTCTTTACTCAACTCCACCATCGGTCAATGAAGCCCACAACTTTAGGGGTTTCACTTGGGATAATGATCAACCCTTGACATCGCGACCATCTGGCTTTAGAGTGCGTGCGTGGGTGGTTTCCAGTGATCTACGTGCGTACAGAATTTGCACGAATACAAGCGGTTAGAAAAAGCTAAGATCACGACTGTTGTATTCAGCCTGCAAGCCAGGCAGGAGTCCATTACGGGACAAGACAAGGACTGATTTAGTTTACAACGAGCATGCGCAGCGCTATACACTACAACAACCTGAAGATTTCATTCTTCACCCGCTGTTCTTCTCACGGCAGAGGTATTCTCTTTCCCCGTCCTCCTTTCGAAACAGACTTCCATTTAGTGTGTTTGTCCCCGAAACGAATACCGTTCATTTCGTACTCGGATCCCCTCCCCTCCCTCTGAAATGAACACAGCTTGCTTTGTTGGACGATGAAAACCGCATGCATGTACATACGTACAGTTTTGGTTGACTTGCGATTTTGCCTCTCCCCCCCCCCCCATGAATGATTTTCGTTTCAGGGACAAAAAAAACGTTTGCAACCACCCCTTATAGGCGATTCACACGACAGGCAAATCCACGTGCACCGGAACGTTGCTATGGTATTTCATCTGTGAACGAGAAAAGTGGCTGAAAAGTGCAAGTGAGCTGGAGGCCTACTTTCACGATAATCGTGGCATGCACAAGTACATTTACACCAAAAATTGCGAAACAAGACTTGATTTTTTATGCGGCTCTTTTCACCATGATAATTATTGTATGCTTGTTTTGAAAATTTGAAATATCCATGGCAACTGGTGGGAGAATCATTCAAAAATGCAAACCTGCCTGTCGTTGTGCAGCCGTGTGAATCCACAAAACCTGACAGTGCCTGTCGTGTGAATCGCCTATAAGGGTCTGCTGCTTCTCTTCTTGCAAAGTGGCTTCGATTTACAAACGAAATTTCAGCAACGAGTACACCTGGTGCTACGGCAAGCAATACTATCAAGACTTACTGACGATTATAGGCGATTCACATGGCGGGAATCAAAATTGTCCAGGACCATTTTGCACTAATCTGCATTCATCTGCAGGCACTTTTACAGGTATGAGTTGGAGAGGGCGTACTATCGTACGACAGTACGGCAGTCTTCAACTGGTTTGCTGAGAGAGCCACTCATTCCGTATCTCTACAGTATCCCCACGGCAATAGGGAGGTTTAGCACTACGTAAAACGTAGCGAATCTGGCCTACTACGTTTCCCGCCAAAATCACAACGCAGGATGTAACGTTTCGAACGTAACAAGGCTGTCACCTGCGTTCTGCCAGAACGCTACGCATCTACACACTCCGAGTTGCAGTTTGCAGTCCGCCATTTTATCCCCATGGATACAGGCGACAACGCTGTGCTAAAACGAATCACAAAAATGTTTCCAACGTAACACTCGCGCCAGATCCGTTACGTTTTTACGTAGTGCTAAACCTCCCTAATGCCGTATACTGGCGGGAGCTCTGGCCGCCACTCGCGGCCGTATGAACTGCGGACTCGCGTTTCACTACCCACGGGCACCTGACAAGCGTGGATTTGCCAGTCGTGTGAATCGCCTATAAGGTTCCATCGTTACATGCACTTTTCATATTGACAGCCCGTGACAGCCGTCCGTACATGAAAATGTGTCCTGTCCGGACTTGAAACAGGGCCCAGTATGCCCAGGTTTTATTGAACTCTTTCGCCATTTTCGGTGGAAATTGTGACGTCATATGCAATATCTCTGGCAGCTTCCCCATTCAAATGCATGTGATTCAGAGTCAGAGGTTTTCCCAGGTTCTGGGCAGGGCCCGGTCCCGGACGGCCCGGATAAGAGAGATAAGAGTGTACAGTAAAACCTGTGACTAACGACCACCCCTTGGGGCCAGAGAAAGCGGTCTTTAGTGGCAGGTGGTCCTTAGTCAGAG